ATAGAATAGGATAGGATAGGATAGGATAGGATAGGATAGGATAGGATAGAATAGAATAGAATAGAATAGAATAGAATAGAATAGAAAAGGATAGGATAGGATAGGATAGGATAGGATAGAATAGAATAGAATAGAATAGGATAGGATAGGATAGGATAGAATAGAACAGAACAGAACAGAACAGAACAGAATAGAACAGAACAGAACAGAACAGAACAGAATAGAATAGAATAGAAAATAGGATGGAATGGAATGGAATGGAATCCAGTTCAGGGTTCGCCAACTTTTTGGACCTCAAGGACCACCAAACTCATAATTTTAAATCCCACGGACCACTAATATGAATTTTAACTGACGGTGGCTTGCTGACGTTGGTGTCTGCAGAGACCCTGGGAAAATCCCCAAAAAAGACTTGGAGGAAAATTCCCCACCCCGTTTTCCTACCAATTGATCATTCTTTATTTGGAATCGCAGAATACCGTCTCCAGCTCCGTTCTCAGGGAGAGAGAGACAGAGAGAGACTTTTGGCTTCATGCAAGGAAAGCAGCAGAAGCCGCAGAAGTCTTTCTTTCTCTCCCCCAAACTCCGCCAGAAATTAGTCTTTGTGAGAGTTGTTGCAACCAGCACAGCCTCTTGGAGCAGGAGGCCTTGCAGGGTCCCAAAGACTCAGTTCTGGCAGAGTTTGGGGGAGAGAAAGACAGACTTTTGCTGCTTTCCTTGCCTGCAGGCAAAAGCAGCAGAAGAAAGAAGCGGAAAGAAGCAGCCCGGTGGCCAGGCCAGGCGCGTGGGGCAAGTGGGGCGAGTTCCCCCCCTCAGCCCTTCCCCCCTCCCCTCACTACCTCGTGTTGTTCGCAATGCAAGCGATGCAAGCCTTGTGTTCCCGCGGGCCATGTGGGTGGTGCAGCCTTGTGTTCCCGCACAGCCTGTATTAATTGCTTTGGGGGGGACATTTCTTTGCGGACCACCAAAATTTTCTCATGGACCACCTGTGGCCCCCAGCCCACCGGTTGGCGACCACTGATCCAGTCCAACCATCCACACCCTGCCCAAGCAGGAGGCCCTACAGCATTTCTGACAGGTGGCAGTCTTAGACGTTTGGATTTGGTGTTTATGGCCCTTTGGGCTTCCCCTAATTGCTCCTGGTTTCGAAAAGGATTGTGCAAATTCTAAAGCAGAGTTCAATTTCCTGCCAGTGCACTAAAAATATACAATGCAAATTTTGTATTTTTCAAAAAGGATGAAGTCGTAAATATGATCGTATATTTCTTCTTCAGAGGGAACAATACATTGGCCGTTCTGCAAAGCCACTCTGGGAAACTAGAATACTTAAATAGTTTAGGGTGTCTGGAAATTCATAAAAATAGCTGTCCTCGATTTGTGATCGTTCATTCAACAGTGGTTTGAAATTGTGACGGCACTGAGCAAAGAGACTTAAGATCCTTACCCAAAGTTTCAAATACTGCAGCATCACATGAACAAAATGTAGTCCCTTACAACCAACTGTACAGGAACTGGGCCTGGCTAGTCTAGTGAAGAGAAGGACCAGGGGAGACAGGATAGCAGTCTTCCAATATTTGAGGGGCTGCCACAGAGAGGAGGAAGGGGTCAAGCTGCTCTCCAAGGCACCTGAAGGCCAGACAAGGAACTATGGATGGAAACTGACCAAGGAGAGATTCAACCTGGAAATAAGGAGGAATTTCCTGACAGGGAGAACAATCAACCAAGGAAACAGAACTTGCTTTCGGAAGTTGTGGGAGCTTCATCCCTGGAAGCTTTCAATAAGAGACTGCCATCTGTCAGAAACGGTGTAGGGTCGCCTGCTTGGGCAGGGGATTGGACTGGATGACCTCACAGGTCCCTTCCAACTCTGTTAATCTGTTCTTCTGCAGTTGCCTCCCTGCTTATCAAGGCCTCATCCCTCCCTGTTGTGTCCCAACCACTCCTCTCCACCTCCTGTCACACTTACCTTCTCCATAGATTCTCCTTCAGGGAGTAGCCTGTGTGCCACACTGCCTTCCTACACGGAGGCCCCGTGGCCCTCTTCCGACGTGGGTGCCATTTTGGAAACAGGTGCAAAGAATCAATGCGATTGAATGGGGGCAAGATGGCGCCATATGGTAGAGGGAAACCAAGGGACAAATCAGCCTGCCCTTCTTCCCAAAATCAATCTCCAAGATCTTGCTGAACGACGGTCATGACTTAGAACTGTAATGGGCAGGCTCCATTATGGTCATAACTTGAGGGCTACCTGTAGTGGCCTTTCCTAAAGATATTTATGGGGAGGGCAAAGATTTAATTTCTCCAGACTTAGTCTAATACATTGTTTTTCATACTGGGAAACTATAAGATATATGTGGACTTCAACTCCCAGAATTCCCCAGCCACCATCTGACGAATGCCCTAATTAATTCATGAGCCTCGAGCCAAGTTTCAAAAGAAATCCAATTATTTATTAGGAGCAACACGTCGGCACTTTTCCCAAGTGCAGTCAGCTCTGCCCTACGTCATTTACTGTTCACCTATGATCCTGTTTCCCCACCTCCTCCCAAGGTGTGTCATAAATCACATTGTCAACGAAGCATTTTCCCGGGCTGTGGAAAACATGGGCCTCTCCAGCTGGGCTTGGTAACTTGACACACAATCTGGAGAAAGGTATGTGTGGAATGTGTTTCTGATCGTAGCAATGAACTGCTCCTCCTCCTTCTTATGGCAACTCGAGAGCGAGCCAGGAATGCTTTACGAGTTGACACATGCCTGACTAGGGAATTCTAGGAGTACACATCTTAAGGTTGACATGGTTGAGAAACGTTGAGCTAACCGCAACTTCTCTTTTGCAGAATCCTTTGCAAACAGACGATGAGAAGATACAGAAGGGACGGCGCAGCCACCAAAACCAGGGAGAGAAAACAATTTATTCGGAGATCACCAAGGCTCAGGAGGCACGTGGCTTTGACACCTCGGTATCCCAGTATAGTTCCTGAGGTTGTGAATTTCCCCTAAATGAATCTAGTTCCTGAGGTTGTGAATTGAAAACAATCAACTGTACTACATTCACACATCCTAACTACAGCTAGTAGTATAATATACAGTTAAAACTGTAAAAACATTTTAAAACAGTTTTTGAAAAGCTACATAAAAATATTTATGCAAAACAAATATGCATAACAATTGAGATACTTGGCCAGTGAATAACAAATGAAATGGCCCATTTGGTGCTTCTGATATGGGGTCTCCTGCTGTGTGCAGGAGTTAGACTAGAATAGAGGTCATCAGCCTTTTGGACCTCAGGAACTACCAAACTCATAATTTTAAATCCCACGGACACTAATATGAATTTTGACTGATGGTGGCTTGCTGACGTTTTCCCAGGGTCTCTGCAGAAAGCAGCAGAGACCCTGGGAAAATCCCCCAAAAAAGTCTGCAGAAAAATTCCCATCCCATTGATCATTCTTTATTTGGGATCACAGGATACCGTCTGCAGCTCCGTTCTCAGGGGGAGAGAGATGGAGAGAGACTTTTGGCTTCATGCAAAGAAAACAGCAGAAGCCGCAGAAGTCTTTCTTTCTCTCCTGCAAACTCTGCCAGAAATGAGTCTTTGGCGGCGCAGCCTCTTGGAGCAGGAGGCCTTGCAGGGTCCCAAAGTCTCATTTCTGGAGGAGTTTGGGGGAGAGAAAGAAAGACTTCTGCTGCTTTCCTTGCCTGCAGCCAAAAGCAGCAGAAGAAAGAAGCGGAAAGAAGCAGCCCGGTGGCCAGGCCAGGCACGTGGGGTGAGTGGGGCAAGTTGCCCCCCCGTTCCACCCTTTCCCCCCTCCCCTCATTACCTCATGTTGTTCGCAATGCAAGCGACTCAACCCTTGTGTTCCCGCGGGCGCTGTGGGTGGCGCAGCCTTGTGTTCCCGCACCGCCTGGATTAATTGCTTTGGGGGTGAGATTTCTCTGCGGACCACCAAAATTTTCTCGCAGACCACCAATGATCCCCAGCCCACCGGTTGGCAACCACTGGACTAAATGACCTCCAAGGTTCCTTCCAACTCTGTTATTCTGTATTCTTGTCCATTCTCGCCTTCATTGCAGGAGAAAAACCAAACAGTTTACCCTTCCCCCCACCCCATAATCCTTCTTTTTCCAAGTAGGTCTCAGCTCTCCAAATAGCCTCTTCTTTATCTTCTCCTTGGCAGAGTGAAGACCCAAACAGCTGCAAGACCATCTATGAAACAGTGCAAAGTCCTCCTTCCATCAAATCCTCTGGCCCGTGAGCCTTTGTTTAACACACACACACACACACACCGTCTGCAAAGCCAGCAAGAGATGCGCTCCCCACCACCAGAGCTAGGAAATGCCTGAGCTCCTTCTCCCAAAGGCAGCCTGGAACACCTGCAGAAGAGAGAGAGAGAGAGAGAAGTGGAGAAGACAAGTCATGGTCATTCTAGGATCGCCACCAACTTTCCCTCCTGGACTTCTTGGAGAGTGGGTTGGGACAACTCACCACAGCCGACTCGCTGCAGGACAACTCGCCACAGGACAATTCAACAGATACAAAGTCAAATTAATTTTGACGGAGGTACGGCTAATAATAATAAAACAGTCCGTCCAGACAAAGGGGTCATTAAACAAAACAGAAGAGTCAGTCCAGAAAAAAAGAAGAGTTACAAGAATTTCATCGAAAACGTGGTCACCAATGATAAAAGTAACGGAATGAAATGATCAATACAGTGTTGAATTGTCCCACGGTGACTTGGCCGTGGTGAGTTGTCCTAGACCAGTGGTGGCTAACCTTTTTGGGCTCCTATGCCAAAAATTGTGTGTGCGCTTGCATGCGTGCTTGTGTGCAGCAACCAGAAGTCAATGTGCACATCCCCCATGCCTCCTGCATATACGCGCACAATTCCCGCCGGCCCCTTACCTGCACTGCGCCTCCCAGCTGATTTTTGGCCTCCCAGAGGCTTGAGGAAAGCCTCTGTAGCCTTTGCAGGCTGAAAAATAGGCCCGTTTCATCA